AGTGTAGACTTTCAATAAACGTTCCACTTCTCTTTTTTCAATTATATGATCGTGAAACAGATATTCTCTTACTCTTTCCCCAGTAAAAGTAGTTTCAAGAGGTCAAGACTGCCATAGTTTAAAAGGGCTGTAACTGCATTGCTTTTAGCTGGAGGCGGTTTGAGGATATAATCTTTTATGGTGGCCAGTGACTTCATATTTTGTGACTCTTCAAATGTCCTGCCGTATTACTTGCAGAAAGCAGTCCAGAGTACATATTAAATCTCTGCTGTCAGGTAGTCCCACAAACAAGCAAAACTTCTAGCGTGAATTTACAACTCTTAAAAATATCAAAATGGCTCAGAGACTCTAGTTCCTAAAAAAAGAATGCAAAAGCTACATTTTTAGTAACATCTGCTGGACAAGCATAAAAGATGAACTTAGTCATCTTTGCTAACTTCTCTGATGAATAATACACTGTTAAAGCAGAGGTGATTGCCTGTGAATTAAAATAATGCTGCTGTGCAATAATCAGCATTTATTTTAAAAGATTAAAATGGTTGCTAAAGGGACAGAAATATTTGTTTAAAATTTTGTTTCATTTTCTATTTCACCTCTTCGATGGAGTCAGAATGACAGGAGGTGGAAATATTAATTTAAATAACTATGCTATCACTAAGCTGAATGGAAATGTCATGTAAGTGGCATAGTTTCTCACATTGCTTTAAAAACATTGTTGCAATAAACAATGGAAAAGAATCATGTAGCAGACTGAGACGTGGAAATAGGCAGATTTGGACAGCACTAGGAAAGTCTCGGTGTCCCAGAACATTTCTTTCATCTACATAGGCTAGAATCTGGCTAATTCCCTTTTTTGTGGCCCTCATTTAAAAAACATACTAATAGAGGGCCGGCCCCGTGGCTTAGCGGTTAAGCGCCCGCGCTCTGCTACTGGCGGCCCAGGTTCAGATGCACATCGACGCACCGCTTCTCTGGCCATGCTGAGGCCGCGTCCCACATACAGCAACTAGAAGGATGTGCAGCTATGACATACAACTATCTGCTGGGGCTTTGGGGAAACAAAAAGGAGGAGGATTGGCAATAGATGTTAGCTCAGAGCCAGTCTTCTTCAGCAAAAAGAGGAGGATTAGCATGGATGTTAGCTCAGGGCTGATCTTCCTCACAAAAAAAACAAAACAAAACAAAACAAAACAAAAAACCATGAGCAGGGTTTGGACAGCGGGGGGAAAAATAACATACTACTAGAGTAGTGTAAAAACTAATTCACACTAAAATATTAGTGACATGTGCAGTCTCCTTCCCTCATGAAATCAGGCCTCCTGAGGTACTGTATACCTGAGAAGAGAGGACAGGAGGAAAGTTCTCACTAAGATAGTGGGTCATAGTTAAAGTATTTCTCTTTCCGGTAAGGGGCAAACAAGGGACGCTTCAGAGGCTATACTTATCCTTTCCACTGAAATGCTCTAGGCTGATCTCATTTTAGATGTCACATAGATAAATCATCATCTAAGGAATGTAATGGGCTTCCGAGCCACCAGGCATTACATTGAAAATGTTCCAGCGCAACCTGGTTTCATCCAACTCTTCTTTCCTGAGCGAGGGGACTGTTAAAAACTCAGATTTATTGGCGTCTTTCCTTAAACCCATAAAGGGTAAAGATACGAAGTAGTCAAAATCTTTTCCCTTCAGAATAATGCTGAATTGATTCTAAACTCTATTAGGGTAGTAAGTAACCATGTCTGTTTCAGCTTAACTCCAATACTTAACGTAGTTCCTAATACACTGATGCACAAGGTACTCAAGAAATACTTATGGGTAGATGGATAGAAGGAAGGTAGGAAAAAAATTTGTAGACTTTTTTTTTCCCATTCTAGATAGATAATTACTAAGAAAACCCTGTATCCACCCTCTCATCTTTTGACACGTTTGGGCAGCAGAAATGTTGGGAACTAAAAGCTAAAAACAGATTTTAAAACATATTAAACATCATAGTCCATAAAACCACACTACCCAATTGTCTACCAGAATCAGACCAAGATTGCAGGCATGAAAGTGTGGCAAATACATTAATTCAGAAATATCTCCAGTGAGAGATTTTGGTCAGATATTTTGGCATTTACTTAACTGCAACAACTCAGTGACAATCGTGTTAGCACAAGTGCCATATATTACACAGTTCTGAAGACCAAAGCTGAACTGACTGCCTGGGCAGGTTCCAAAACGGTCCAAGCTCTCCAGGCAGTGAAATGAAGGGCAGGGCAGAAGGAGCAACCACTTACGGAGGCACGTTCAATCCTCGGTCCTCCAGCACGTTTAGGCAATAGAATTCCGAAATGTGTGGGCCAAGTGATCACTTCCTCTTGGTTCCAAAAGGGATGGAGGGAGTATGAGACCGAGGAAAACCCCAGAAGAGAAGCAGTTGTAGCTGACTTCCTATTATAGCAGTAATAGATATTTCTGTTTAAATACAAATGGAAAATGCAAACTACCAAACAAAATCCCATAACGGCATGTAGACAGTCAAAGTTAAAGTATTTAAACTTTTTGTGTGTGTGTGGACACTATATGACTTGTTCCCAACTAGGTGGGCCTTGGCATTATACTTTCTCAAGAACCATAAACAAAATTCAAAATTTCTAGTAACATTCCTTTTTATATTGGATCTGGGAGTAGGTCTTGGGGTGGTAAATTGAAACTGCAAGAATAAAAAGGTAAAAAATATATAATCCAATAAAAGGGGAACGTTGCAAGTATTAAAATGTCTAATGTTATGAGGCTTTGTTTTTTATTTTATTTTCAGCTACCGGTGGTACTCTGGCCACAATGAATAAAGCTAAATATTTTATTAGCCCCAAACACAATTAGAGAAGTCATAGATTAAATAGTAGATCACCCTCTGCTTCAAATATCTTCAATTAACAGACCACTTAATGGGTCGATTTAAAGGATTTTAACACATCTAAAAAAACACATTAACGTTAGCTACTTTCTCATAAAAACTTTGTACTCAAAAAAAAGTTTTCACTGCTTCTCATTTTGTTTCACAGTCCTTTCTAATTTCCGCTGGTATAAATCAATTTAGGTTTATTAGCTTCGTACAAAAGAACTCCAGTAGGTTTTTAATAATAATTATCATTATCTCTGATTAAAGTTATATTGTTCGTGCCAGATGGAGTCCTTTTCCTGTCAGCTAGAATGAGCTTGCATTATGCAGTTATAATGTGTTTGGATCTAAATAAACAGATGGCAGGGTGACAGGGTATTATACGCTGGTGATAGCAGCAGTGCTTCGCAATCAGAATTGCTTCGAATAAACTCTGTTGTGGCAAGGATCCTGAAACTTTTAAGAAGGTGACTGGACTTGAGCCTAAGTGTTACGTTAACTTGGAAATAGCACTGCTCACTTGCAGGAGGATAGACCAATGGGATGGTCTGAGGTCAGCCTTCGAAAATGTGTCTGCTGAATCTGTTCCTTAACTGGGAAAGCATTTCACATACTAGGTTCGCTCAGGCAGTCTCATAAGGAGAGAGGGAGAAAAAGCTGCCCACGTTGTAAGAACTTCCAAGTGGAAGAGTTAAAAACTGTGGGTTGAGGAAAGATGGAAACATTTGATATAACTTTGTTCCACAATTTTTACAATATAGTTAACTATGCTAGAATAAACATCCTAAATAGGCATATACTTTTCACAATTAATAATAGAAAATTAATAAAGAACGTTTAATAGGAAGTATCTTATAGAAAAGCCTTAGTCTTTAATCAATTTTCACATCTACTTTTCATTCTAAGAATAAGCCCTTGTACTCACAAAAATAGAGTAAACCTGTGAAATTCAGAAGCAAAATTCAAAGAAAGCCATTATATACAATTTCTTCTGGCTAATGCTCTTTTGTTGAGAAGGAATATTTCTGTGGGACAACTGTATTTGCTGAAGCAAATACCCATAGTAGCATAGCCTTTAAGAGGCAGATGCTGCTACGAGAGATAAAGGCTGATATTTGAAAATGGAGGTAGTATTAATAAATATTTTAGAAGAAGATATCAAACAATTGAAATTAAGCTTTCTAAAAAAATTAGCTGTTTTAAAAGCTTGAAATTTGTATATAAAGATGTTGGTTTGCAAACTGGCCCCTATACACAGAGGGCAAGAGGAGACCAAAGAAAGAGGCAGACCATCCCAGATTGGTAGGCGACAGGTTTAATAAGCAAGGGAACTTACTTACGGGGCTTGTCTTGCACAGTTGCAAGACCAGTAGATTTCCTCGCCTGCCCTCCAGAGTCATAAAACTTGATGTAGAGGCCTTAACTGGGTTCAGTCAGGTAGTCAGTCCAGAGGCACTCAGCAACACCTTACTCTCTCAAGGCTGCATCCTTGAAACAGCTGCTAGTGTGGGACTACTGGGCAGGATGCACATTCTAAGGACAGGGGAGGGGGTGAGGAGCCTCTGATTGCCCAGCTTGAGGGTCAACCAGCGGTCACGTCCTCTCAATGACCTCCTCCAACAAATGATAACCTAAATTATGTATGTAACCTTTTATTCTGATGGTTTGTCATGTGTCTGTAAGAATATATTCTTGTTTTCATGAACTTCAACTTCTTAACTATTAATTTAATCCTTAATATCTGTTGGTATTAGTAAACCACGAACTTTTGAAATTATATCAAGTAGAATAGATCAATAGAATAAAAATGTTCAATAGTCAAAGTGAAACTTCACGTAAATATTTACTTCCTACTACCTGGGAAAATTCACGAATTCGTTTATTTTCTTGTCTTATAAAGTGATGAGAAGATTTTGAATATCAGGAGATTGTATTTCAGCTTCACATGTATTTGGCTTCAGATTTTGATACTTAAGTGGGCGTTTTATGAGCTATGTTTCAACTGTAGTGTGACATAAAAGTTCTCATACAGGAGCAAGAATATTGCCTTTCAGGAGTTACTCCTTGTCAAAGAGTGAAAGATTATAATGTACGTGTGCTTTTTCCTGCTCTACAGGTGGACGTTGCCATAAGTCCTGTACTGGCCGATGCTGGGGACCCACGGAGAATCATTGCCAGACTTGTAAGTGTTCAACAATGAAAAGCATAGGCTTGAAATGGTCAAATAATTTTAATAATTGATGCTTTTCACACGTCTGGTCATCAAAAACATGAAAATGAGCTTTTGCCTCTTTACGGTATATTTGCTCCCATTTGAGTAAACTACCTATTTTCATTGCTTTCAAGTGAAACATAATATATAATTGCTTCTTATATTTCTTTGTGGTTTCTAGGTTAATGATATCAACAGCACAGGTATGGTGATATTAACTATGACTTCAGAGTCTGTACATCCGAGGAAGCAGGAAATCCAAATGTGTACAAAATGATGATAACTCAATTTCAGGTTAACTGAATATTTTAGTATTTTCCCCAAATGCTTACTTAACCATTCATTCATTAGAAAAAGAAAAAAGAAAAAGGCACTATGGACCCACTCTGTTCTAGGCACAGAGATATAAACTATGTGAACTGTGCATATAGATTCACTACTAAATGACAATGTATCTTGCCCTCAGTGTATATTTTTTCTTATATTAGTCATTAAAGTATGAGCTATCATCATGGCTAAGACATATAAAAACAAAGTATACTGAATATGAAGACAAATATCTCATTTTTTTCAGTATTCTTAAAGTCCTATGATACTTAAATCAGCACTGAACTTTGTCTAATCTTAAAAATAGTTTCTTTAAAAAAGAAAAACAAAATTCTATATATAAATGGTAAAAACTTCTCTTTCTGCTACAATAATGGCTAAAATAATACATGGAAAACTGTATGGTGGCCACTTGAAATGTATTCATTTTGTTAGCATAGAAGACACATAGAAAATATCTTTAAAAATTTGAACATACAAATATTAGATATATGGAAATTTGTACTGTTGGGTGAAAGTTCAGATATTTCTAATTTGTCTCAGTTCGTGATATTTGTTAGATTCTGTTTCAATAAAGAAATAAAAAATAATTCCTTTATTGTGAGCCATGAAAGAAAAAAGATATAGAAAAAAATATATTCTCAATGGCAAATGATTGCTTAAATTTATTTTTTTTAATTCACGGACATTCTCATGTTCAAAACATTCATAGAATATAAAAGAGTATAAAGTAAAAATTTCTTCCTACTTTTGTCCCACCTTTGTCTTCAGCCACCTATAGGCAACAAATGTTATTGACTACTTTTGTGTGTTCTTCCAGAGACAATTTATGTGTACACTAGGAAATATGTATATGTCTCTGCCCATTTTTCACTCAAATGTTAGCATGCTTTGCATGCTATAATGCACCTGGATTTTTTCACTCCACGCATAAGTGCGTGAATTTATTTACAATTTTAATTCCTAGAAGTGGTATTTGCAGGGTCAAGGACACGTGTGTATGTAGCTTGATAGAGATCATTACCGTGGAGATCCTGTTCTCTGTTGAGGTTGTGGAAGTTTCCTCTGCTAGGAGCAATGTATGTGAGTGCCTGTTTCCCTATTCCCTGAGCAAAGCAGTGTGTCATCAAAATTTTGATCTTTATCAAAGGGTCAGATGAAACATAGTATCTCAGTGTAGACTTAAACTAACTTATTTAATGGAAACAATGTTTTATGGCAGCTATATTTTGATAAGAATTTTAAGCAGGATTCTAAAGTAAGATTAGATTACAGCATGAAATACATTCACTACAAGATACGTAGGCACTTTTTTAATAGCTAAGAAGTTGAAACCGAGTTGCGCACAATGCTGGTTAACATTGGTGTGGCCATTTGCACAAAGTTGAGATCACTAAAAAAATATAAAAGAATTGTTGTAATACTTTGTGATGAAGTGGCAAGTAACCATGGAAACTGTTAAAGTGTGCAGAGGTCCACTGGTCCTCTTGTGGCAAAGAACTTCTGAGTCGTCAAACTCAAAAACGAATTTTTACTCACTCACTTATTTTACATAGGTGTCAAAGAGACTTCTGGGCCGGCTGCCTGTTGTGGCTGGGCCCCTCTGGAAGGTCCACTCACCCACCCCTGGTCTCCTGGTGGTAGAGGGGACTCCAAGGCCCACCAGGCTTGCCTAGCGCTGTTGAGGGACACGTTAGATGTGGGGGAGGAACGAGCCCACCTGGACTGCTTTCCGTTGCTAGCCTACGTTTGGGTTCCTTTCATCTGTTGGGTAGAGAGACATAAGATGCCTACTACTGTGTTGTTCCTCCAGTGCTGGATCCCAAACCAGGTTGTCTTCATCTCGACACCTTTCAAAGTTCTCCTTTGCATTATTGCCTTTTGCATTATTTCCACAGTATACCTGCTCTTAGTGGAGGAGAGCAGGGAGAAACGGGTCTATGCTGTCTTTTCTGGACCAGAAGTCCCATATAGTACTTTTAATAAGACCAGTAATAAATAAAATCAAATAAAATTACTTTAATTAATTTCATCCTTGTCTCGTTTTATATGTATTTTTGTAAAATACAAAGTTCAGTAGTATAGTTAAATGATTCTTTCATTAATTTTTTTAATGCTGAATGATCATTCTCCAATTGATAGCGAGTATATGAGCTCGAATCATACAAATCACTGTATTAAGGTAGAATGGAAAAACAACATATATGGGTTTTCTCCAACTTTGAAAATTAAATTTTCCTTCATACATATAGTGCTCAAAATTCTGAAACTTTTATTTTAATGGATTTGGTTACATTAGTAAAATTTTACAAAAGTAAGTAAAAAGTCATAATTTCCACCAACATCTCTTATTCTTATAGTAAACAACTTTGGGGATAATTATCAAGCAGCCACCTGTCTTTCTCTGAGAACCATCCCCTTCTAGAGGGGTGAGTCACTGCAGCCCTGTTTGTTCTCTGTGGTGCTCTACCCTTGGTCATAGGGTAGTGTTTCTCAACCGGGGTTGATTCTGCCCTGAGGGGACATTTGATAATGTCTGAACATTTCTGGTTGTTCCAACACTGGGGCACAGGGAGAGGGTAGAACATCTCCTGGCATCTAGTAGGCAGAGGCCAGGGATGCTGCTGAACATCCTACAAGGCACAGGACAGCGTCACCCCACCCCCACCCAGACAAAGAATAATTATTCAGTACAAAATGTGAACAGTACTGAAGGTTGATAAATCCTGTAATAGGAGTAAATATTGACCCAGGCTGGGCCAATGGATTTCTCCCCCCAGAGAACTTGGACTTGGGGTCCAGAAATGCTGGTTATACTACCTTAGAAACTGGAACTTGAAGAGATACTAAACCTAGTTGAAAGTTTCATTTTTGAACCAAGTTGTTAAGGAACAGCAGAAATAACCAGTCCTCAGTGATGTAGACGAATACATTAGTCATGCAGAGGCAAACGAGAACCAGAGAAAGAGAGAGAGTAACAGTTCTTGACAGTTTTTAGCTGCCGTTTCTCTGGGCTTCATGTGGTCCAGGTGCCATAAGAAACACAATCTTCTTCTAGTACATTTAAATGAGTTTTGTTACTTGCCACCAAGTGGGGGGTGGGAGGGAGTCTTGACTAAGAAAATCATCAAGCCATAGCTCGTGTATCAAATCATCAGCCATGAAGTTGTTTAATTCACCTAATTTTTCTGCATAGAAATTAAACTTACTCTAATACCCTGAAATTGGCTTAATGGTCACTGTGCATACTCCACTGAGTCTGTCAAATTTACATTCAACAAATATTTACCCATATCTGGTATGTGCAAGTACAAATTTTAAAATAGTGTTTATTTGCATGGATCTTTATAGTTTACAAAAGATTTCCATTTTAAAATTTGTTTTCACATATTGTTTCAATATTCCTGTGAGTTAAAGAGGACAGTTATCATTTATCTCACTTTTTTTTTTTTTTTTGTGAAGAAGATCAGCCCTGAGCTAACATCCATGCTGATCCTCCTCCTTTTGCTGAGGAAGACTGGCCTTGAGCTAACATCTATTGCCAACCCTCCTCCTTTTTTTTTTCCCCCTTTTTCTCCCCAAGGCCACAATAGATAGTTGTATGTCATAGCTGCACATCCTTCTAGTTGCTATATGTGGGACACTGCCCCAGCACGGCTGGACAAGGGGTGCGTCAGCACGTGCCCAGATCCAAACCCAGGCCACCAGTAGCAGAGCACGCGCACTCAACCACTAAGGCATGGGGCCGGCCCCTCATTTATCTCATTTTATAACTGGGGAAATAGAAGGTGAGGACATGACTAAGAGAGTTGTTAAATTTATACAGCTAATACCTGAGATTTCAACCTACTTGCCCTGAATCTAAAGGCAATATTGTTTCCTGTATATCATGTTGTATAGACAGCTTAGTGGGCAAGGACACTGGATTTGAAATCAGCCAGATGATACAAATCCCAGTTGTTTCCACTTCCTATCGTGGGAAAGTGACTTAACCTTTCTAAGTCTCTGTAACCATATCCGTAAAATGGAGATAGTTACGTCAGAGAGTTGTTGTTTTGGAATCAAATTCAATGCAATAATGTACTTGAAATGCTTAAATATTTTGTAGCATGTACTAAAGACCTAATAAGTAATAGCTAATATTTTAAGAAGCTAAAAGAGATACTGTTAGAAAACTTAATCCATCTTAGATCTGAATGAATGGCTGTGGAAATAAAACTCCTCTGGCCAGTTCCACCTTGTGAAGGCTGCTGATATTGATACCAAACCTCTTAATCTCAAGTTCGCACACCTGATGCACAATTAGCCAAACACTGAGACACCGGGTGCTTGGAGATGGAGAAAGGTTTATTCATATTGGCCAAAATGACAAGGTGGGAGTGTAGGTTCTCTCAAATCTGCCTTAACAAGAGAAGAAAGCAGGGGTTTTTATAGAGCTAAAGGGTGTGGCGGGAGGAGTTTCAGAGAATCAACAGGGCAATCTGTGTTTCTTTCACTCCCAATAAGCCCCTGGGCAATCTAACTTCTGGGCATCACTGGCAGCTGGGGGCTGGTTATCTGGTGATCCTTGAAGGCATTCTCTTTCTTCTGTAAAACAAGCTCATAAATCCTTGTGACCCTTGAGTTACCCCTCAGGTTAAACA